GGAGCCCTTCATGTTGGGAATCCCTGTTCTTTCCTCAGGATATTTTACATGTTACGTGGGACAGTAACTCTGTGACAGCTGTATATTAATGTTGTCATTGTATCTATAGATATTGTAAAGCTCAATTTTTTTTTAGTATTTTTTTTACTCCAGTGATCATCTTGTAGAGCCTGGGGGATGTGTGTATCCATTTTTGGAGACAGTTCTGTTCAGCTGGACTGTCTCTCAGAGTTAGTTTTATCCACACTGTGAGAGTGGTAGGTTATGGGATGTGAACTCTATTTCAGTTTTTAAAATCCATGAGAAAATACTCTTGAAATTACCAAAAAAGAAAATTTTAAAAAACCTTTTTTTTTTTTTTTTTTTTTTTGAGACAGTCTTGAGGATTAGGTTATAAAACTTTGTTTTTTTTTTTTTTTTGAGACAGTCTCACTGTGTCTCCCTGGGTAGGGTACTGTGGCATCATAGCTCACAGCAACCTCAAACTCTGGTCGTGGGTTCAAATGATCCTCCTGCCCGCCTGTCAAGTAGCTGGGACTACAGGTGCCTGCCACAACACCTGGCTAGTTTTTTTTTTTCTACTTTTAGTAGAGAAGGGATCTCACTCTTGCTCAGGCTGGTCTCAAACTTCTGAGCTCAAGCAGTCTGCCAGCCTCAGCCACCCAGAGTGCTGGGATTACACGCCTTTAAATTGAGGGTTTTCAAGCTTAAATGTATAAACGATAGGAAGGAGCTTATAGACAGCACTCAAAAACTGTGTAGACACTGAGGTCTCTGCATCTCTTGTGACAGGCAGTGTTCCCCTTTGCAGTTGTGCCCTTGAGCAAATTCTTTACCTACCCCCAGCCTGGCCAGCAACCAGAGGAACCTCGTGTCGTTCAGCGCACGTGAAGTGTCAGCAGTTACATCAGGTGATCTTCTTTCTTTCTCCTTTGTCTCTTCAGCTGGCGTAACCTTGGCCACAGACTGCCTTGAAGACAGCCTCCTCACCTGCTACTGGGGCTGCAGCGTTCAGAAGCTTTATGAGGCTCTGCAGCAGCACGCTCACTGCTTCAGGATAGGCAGTCCCCGTGCGCTGGAGGACGCTCTGTACAGGGAGTACCTGCACCAGGAGCAGCACTTGTATCCTTTTATCTGTTGAACCCGTCAGCACATGGAAATTAGACTGTTCATGGGGAAAATAAAATGTCACTATGTTATTATTGATCATTTTTGGAATATTTTGTTCTTTGGGTTATACTGGCAATTTCCCTTTACCTTTTCAACAAGTATTAAGAAGGATAGCAAGGAAGAAATATATTGCCAATTACCAAGAGACACCAAAATTGAAGATTTTGGTACAGTGCCCAGATCTCGCTATCCCCTGGTGGTACTATTGACCTTAGCTGACGAGGATGACCGAGAAACATATGATATTGTAAGTAATTGAACGTTTTGAAGCATTGCCTTTATGTGGTTTGGATGGTAGCTCTTAACACATTGTTGGCTGGTCACAAATTCATTTGAGTTTTCAAACATTGTTGACTAACCATGAGTTAACTGGTGTCTGCCCTTGCATGAGCTGTTGCAACTTTTTAAACGCAGGTGACACACATAGGGTATTGTAAAAGCTTTCTTGATTATGTTCATTCGTGTTCGTTTTATTATAAAGAATTATTTTTTCTAGATATTGAGGTTTTTAGCACAATTCTAGTATGGCACAAATTTCAACCATGATGGATCATAATGGTAAAGAATTTTTCAATGAATTATATGCAGATGCTTTATCTGATTGTCTGAGAGATTTTGAAATATTTTGTAGTGATCTGAAAAATCATAGTTGAGAATCTGACATTAGACCATCAAAATGGCAAAAAAGAAATGTAGTAAAATTTGAAAGTGCAGGTGGTGTTGAAGGGGAGTGGACTGAAAATGATATTGTACCAGCTCGGCACCTGTGGCTCAAGTGGCTAGGGCGCCAGCCACATACACCTAAGGTGGCAGAATCCCCAGCCTGGGCCCACCAAACAACAATGACGGCTGCAACCAAAAAATAGCCAGGCGTTGTGGCGGGCGCCTGTGGTCCCAGCTACTTGGGAGGCTGAGGCAGGAGACTCGCTTGAGCCCAGGAGTTGGAGGTTGCTGTGAGCTGTGATGCCACAGGACTCTACCCAGGGGGACAGCTTGAGGCTCTGTCTCAAAAAAAATAAATAAAATGATATTATACTAACCTAGAGGCTTGTAGAAATATTTTGGTGTAACTGTTGAACTTAGTGGTGCACAGAGGCTCCGCAAAGTGACGGATTTACTTTTTGATAATGATTTTTTTAATTTACTTCTCAGACCAGTTTATACCACTGCCAAATGGAACAATTCTGTAAAAACTCTGCCAAAACTTTACCGTGTACGAAGTTACCACTAGTGATATAAAGCGGTTTCTGGGTTTATTGATATTAATGGAACAAACAAAAATTCACATTGGACAGATTGCTGGTCAACAGACCCTTTGCTTGAAACACCAGTATTTCCTCAAAGTGTGACCAAAATGAGATTCAAGGAGATCCTTTTATCTTTTTATCTTAGTGATAATTCACAAGCTACATGTAATGAAGACAGACTATAAAATGAGGCATCTTTTGTATACCATATTCCACAGTTCCAGTCTTTGTACACAGTAAACAGGAGTTACCTCTCCCTGAACAGTGTATCAGATAGAGGATGTGTCAGCTTCAGGACGTACAGTGCAGCAGAGATAACACAGGATGGGAGTTTAGTGAGTGTGCTTTGTAACAGTGAGAATGGCTGCACCCAGAACTCTGAGATCAGATGATGGCAGAAAGGCAGGAGAAACGGTTACGCGTTTTCCAGCCACGTCGTGATTCTTGGCATCACGTGTATCAAGATAATTATGACAACAGTGTTTCTACAGCTGAAATATTATTGGAAAAGAAAACACTAGTCTGTGGTTCTATAAGGGAGAACCAGGGCTGCCAAGGGTACCAAGAGAAAAGCCAAAGAGAGGGGAGAGGACATTTTTATGGAAAGGGCCCATTGTTCTTACCACACAGGAAGAAAAAAGGCTAGTGCGTGGTACCAGCTACTCACAGTGCCCCGTGAAATCCTCTGGAAGGCGAAAGGGGTTCTTAGGTGGCAGGTAAACCACGTGCATATTAGATCACGACAGATACCTGGAGGAGTCGATTGAGCAGACCAGCATTTGGTGAACAGCAGTATCTTGCCTCAAAGTTTAAAGTGGTCTAAGAGAGTAGCATTCTCACTGATCACCTGTGCTTCATTCGGTGCATTCAAAATTTATTGTAACTACCACTTACCAAAAAAAAGACACAAATGCTTCCTGCTAGAAGTAGGGAGTGGATGACCCTCAACTGGGATGGGTGCAGCGCGGAACCTGCCACTTCTGCTGGTTCTCCTAACGAGCTCCTTGCTCAGATTAACCTTTCAGGCGAATAAAAAGATTCGCCTGGCCCTTTGGCACAACTAAAGCACCATGTTTGAGGGATAACAGGCACTGGTGTAGAAAAAGAACCCACCTAGAACACGTGGAGCATGCTTTTCAGAAGGAAAGCACAGCGAAACCGGGTGTACTTGCAAAACCTGATGTGCACCTTTGCATGTCGGTGAGTGCCGTACAGTTTATCACACCAAGAAGATCATTAAAAGTTCTACTCCAATTCATTATGTGTAAACAAAGTCTATTGAAGTTTATTTAAATTGCTCCACTTTCATATTCAATTGCAGATTAATAGCTGGTGACATGGGGTGGTGTCAGCGCAAAATTGCTGGTCAACAATGTGTTAAGTATTTGGTGAAATAGAAAAGGTTGTATTTTAATTTCTAAGGGTATACATTTGGGGTGTGTGTGTATATATATATATATATAGTTGTTGTTGTTGAGATAGAGTCTCACTTTCTCATCCTGAGTAGAGTTCTGTGGCATCATAGCTCACAGTAACCTCAAACTCTTAGGCTCGCGCAATCCTCTTGCCTCAGACTTCCAAGTAGCTGAGACTACAGGCACCCTCCACATTGCCTAGCTCCTTTTTTAGAGACAGTGTCTTGCTCTGACTCAGGCTGTTCTCAAACTCCTGAGCACAGGCAGTCCACCCACCTCGGTCTCCCAGAGTGCTGGGATTACAAGCTTGAGCCACTATGCCCAGCCTAGACATAGTTTTCTTGAAAAAGGAATATATAGGATGTGTACTTACATGATTTTATATGTACAACAGTGCCTTCAGAGTAAGAGTTATTTTTTTGCCTTGTAGGTCACAAGAATATAACTTTAGAAAATAAAAGATATAATCAAATTAATTTCATCATTCCATATTCTGTCATGTTTGTGATGTAGAAAGTGTCTGTTGGGAAGCATGTTTATTCTTGACATTTTTTAGAGCTGAATAAATAAATAACATAATGACCTAAAAGTGCGCAATTTTGAAGTACCACCTGTTCTTTTGTGTTCATGCCCATAGCCACCTGTTCCCATGAGAGCCCCTGTGTCCCTGCCAGAGCCCTCATGTCCCCGCCAGAGCCCCCATGTCCCCGTCAGAGCCTCAGTGTTCCCATGAGAGCCCCCGTGTCCCCATCAGAGCCCCCTGTCCTCATCAGAGCCCCCATGTCCCCGCCAGAGCCCCGTGTGCCTGCCAGAGCCCCATGTCCCAACCAGAGCCCCTGTGTCCCCACCAGAGCCCCCGTGTCCCCACCAGAGCCCCGTGTCCCCACCAGAG